CATTTTCAGCTGAGTTGTACCTGCCTAGGACATGGCAAAATTGGCTTCCTATATTCTTCACTGCCATATAACTTTAAAATATTACTTATATATAGAGTTGTCTGGTATAATATGAGATACTACCTAGGAATTGCACCTGTCAAACAGATCGACAGCTTCAGGGTACATTTTGGTAGAGCAAAAAAACTACCACAGTATTCATAAAAAAATAAAAATGCAGAACTGACCATACAGTTATTAACTGGCATTGAATTAGCTGCCAAGTAGTGTCTTTGTGATATTTTTGTATCCATGCTTGTTGGAAGGTGTTTTTGCTTTTAGAAAAGCAGAAATTCTCCTTCAAAGAGCTTTTGAATTAAAATCCACTCTTAACAACAAACCCATAAGAACTTGAAATGTGATATAATTGCTGGTACATAAAATCACAATGCGTTAAAGAAAGTTTTAAGGACAAAGATGAATTTCTTTTTCTGAAGTGCACAGCTGAGAGGCACTTGGTGCTTCATCTTTGTTTCCATCCATGCAGACTTGTATTTTGTGGTGCAATGAGATGGACTTCCTGTGCCTACACCTTGACATTCTCCTCAAAATCATGATTAAATCTTCAATCATTCATTATTCAACAAAATACTTCCAACATGAGAACAGACATATTCGGTCTTTCAAGAGCTCTCAACAGCCTCCAGAATACTCATTGATTCATTTAACAAGCCACAGATGAAGTAAACATCTGTCTAATGATTCAAGACTATGAGAGTCCCTATTGTGGGGAACACCGAGGAGAAATAGGGTGAATCAATCCAAGGATACACGGCACAACACGACTTCCACAGGCCCGTCAGTGACAGCCTGTGGCATGAGCCACTGGGTGTGGTCACCAAGCACAGACAGCAGCTCAAAACCAGCAGTGCTCTTTGAAACTGTCCAGGATAACTGTCCTATAATCAGTGTCACAGCTCCAGAATGGATTCCAGCAGCAGCCTCCAGGCGTGCCCTGCACTGGAGCCACCTCCACCAGAAGAAAGCCATGGATTGATAAATCACCTCATTGCACAAAGATACCTCCCGTATCTTTATGGGAAGTACTAGCTAATTTATCAGTTCTTTATTATCCTAGATTATTTAGCATTATGGCCGAGAACCACTCAGAGAGGTAATATTAACTACATGAACTTACAAGTTTTCTGTGATGTCACCAAAACATGCTAGTTAAAATCCTTTTAAATAAATACATGCATCACAAGTAACTATGTGTTGGTGCTCCCACCCTTATCCCGCACTCCCTTATCTTTAGTAGCCAAATGTCTGTTTATTTTGATACCTATTTCTCTCTTCTGACACAACATGTTGTCATGTGCTTGCATTCCCAAGGCTAAGATTTGTATTTTCTGTACAGCTCATGGACCTCCATGTCTGTGTTGCACACAGCTACCTTCCTACATGCAAACATATGAACCTCGGAGCAAGTAACAAGTTCCATGCACCTTGGTGAACCTGAAAATTGACTTTCATTCTGTGCTAAGTGTTTCAGAACCAGCTTTTGACCAATATTTGTGTTCACTTGACCAATAATAGCTGCCCCTAAGAATAACTCTGTCATAAATACTTCCATCCCAAGAAGGGCTCTACAAGAAGAAGACAAAGTTCACATAATTGGATTTTATGCACAGCAAAGGAGAAATACTTCAGTCTTTGGAGTGATATACTTGATCTCTTCCCATGGCTTAAGTTTAATGAAATAACATTAAGTAACAGGAGCAGAGAACCACTGTGAATCAGTAAGCACTGAGAACTGCTAATGAATAAAACAAAATACACTTTTGTTTCTACATATGAAAGTGTCCACGTGCATGGTGTTATAAACAGTTACAAGGAAGGCTGTAGCTGAGTTTCTCCCCTGAGACCGAGTTGCTTATTTCAGCTGTTGCATCTAGGTGGAGTCAGTGATATCAGAAAGGATATAAGCCTGTGGGTTTTTTCTTTTTAGAACAACTCACAGAGTGGATTAGGAAAAATCAAGATGTAAGCAATTATTGTAATACTTAGCAGACAATATATATTCCTAACACATTTTTAGACAGGTGAAGAATAAAATTATACTTACAATAAAAGCATCTTTAATACTTTGTTTATTTGAGTGGAAACTATCATGCATTACATGATATCTGGATTTTTTTTCTATTCCAGACAGAACTGCTGTATTTTTAACACATTGGTGGATTACTTCTCATTCAGCCTTTCAAATTCACAGAACACACAACATGAAGTACACTATTACTACATCTGTTTTCCTGAGGACATCAAGATGTTTTATACTTATCTCAAACGAGCACAACATACAAAAGCTATATAGACTACATATATATATATATATATGTATATGTGTGTATGTATGCATGAACATGTGTGCTTCATCTACTCTGATTCAGTAGACAGCCCACTGAAATTCCAGCAATATTTAACACAATAAGTGAACAATTTAACGACCATATTTCAGAGAGAGAGATAGTAAGAGCCAGGAAACACTCCTCAGTTAGTTTTGGTGTTGTACACCACACTAACTGCTCCATAACATATTCAACAGGTTTTTGAACACTATGTCAAATATTGCACTTCTTTCTCTAAAACTGAGAATTTCACTAAAGAAATAAACCTCCAAAACTGAAAAATAATCCCTCGCTTCCTGATGGCTGCATTTGATTGAGACAGAGATTAGACATTGTCTGGTTTGTACACTATTCTAAAAATTCTTCACTGCCTGGATAGAAAATCGAGAGACATCTGTGTCTGGAGATTGTGTCACTAATCCACTAATAGAAGTCCTCTGTGAAGGACTAATAGAAGTCCTTCCTGTAAAGTGATGTTAATGAAGAACTTTTCTGTGCCACTTGGACATAGGAAGTACAGGAAACACTGCAGATCCTCAGAGGTAAACACATGATATACTGCAAGCATTATTTTTTGCATGATATTTGCAAATTAGTCTAATGCTATCACATAATAATTCAAGTAAGTAGCTAAGTGTTACTTCCTAATGCATACAATTTTATTTGCATTTATTGACAATTCCTTTAGCTAAAATCCACTTGCAAACAATAATTCATTTTCTTTGTTTGCTCCAGACTTTTTTTTTTTTTCCGCAAAAAGTTGTTACTTCTATTTTAAGATTGGTGGGGCATGGCAAAAATCTTTGTAATTCTGAACATAGACTTCTTTCATGAACATTATGAAAGCAAATCATCAGAAAGTAATTACACAAACCACTAAATCAAAACTGGTATGTATAAAATCACTTGAAAACTATATATATAAAGCACCACCACAGGAAGGCTATGTGGGTGAATATATTTTTCAAATATGGCCATCACCTCAGAATCTTGGCTCAAAATTTTTTAACTTTGCAATTACATGCAATTGTCAAACATGCATAGAACATGTTTATCATAACAGAGACATCCTGCTACCCCATTTATATGCTTCACCCTATGGAAATATTTATGCATAAATTAATCTGAAATAATTGAAAAGTCCGTATGAGCAAAATACGAGATGAATCAAAACTTTCAGCTTGAAATGAAATGCAACGACTGACTTTTGGAGTCACCATGACCTAAAAGATGCTACATTATATAAAATAGTCACAGCACTACACTCCTAAGTAAATAAAGATGTAACTTGTCTCCCTTTCAACTGCAACGTTAGAAAGGCTGACAGGGCTTCACAAAACCCTCCTGTGTTAGGGAACGGAAACTCCTAATGAGATTAGTTGGTGTGTGTGCAGACATTACTTAGCCATGACTAAATGGGCTCTCTTCCTGCAGCCAGTGGAAAATTCAGGGAACTTTTTCCCCCTGCAGCATCAGAGTCCCTCTAACCTTCAGCAAAGCCAGATCCAACAACAACTCTCCACTTTCTCTCCCTTTCTCCCTCTCTCTTTTTTTTCGCCTTCCCTTACAAACATTTTTTGTGTTTTCCTTTTTTTCAGTTGGTGGTGGAAACTATCCACGTCGGCCAAGGGGGTCTGGGGGCAGGGGGTGGCTAAAAAAAGAGGGTGGGGGGAGGTCCGGAGAGTAGGCAGAAGACTACAAAGGAAACTGTAAAAAGGAGCAAATACATAAACCTGAGAGGGAGAAAACCACAGAGTTTCTTTGTGAGCTGCAGTGACTCATTTTCAAGATGTTGTCTGCTGCCAGTTTCAAACCGGAAGCGCATGGCAATTAGTCTTGCTGTTTCCAGACAAGCCAGAAACTCTCCCGACACTTTTTTTTTTTTTTTTCCCCCTCTTTTTAAAGCCCCTTCTGCAGTTTCTGCAGGAGCCCTCCCTTCCCTCCCCCCGCGCCCTCCCCGGCCCCGCTCGGCCTCGCAGCGCCGCCGGGGACCCGCGGCGCCCCCGCCGCCCTGACAGGCACCGGGCGGCCCCCGCCGCACCCGGGATGCCGCGGGAGGGGCGGCCCCGGCACCGCCAGCCGGCACCGCCGGGCAGCGGGACGCCAAACGCCCCGCCGCCGCCGAGGGGCAGAGCGCGGTCCCGGGGTTCTCCGAGACCCCCGGCGCCTCCTTCCCGGCCCTGCCGCTCCTCACCCTCCGGCTCCTTCTCCCGCATCCGCGCCCCTCCACACACACACGCGCGGTCCGCCCCCTCACCTGCACCCGCAGCTCCCGGGGGGCGGCAGGGGCCCCGGGGAAACCTCCACCGGGGCGGGGGCCCCTGCGGCTGCGGAGCCTCCTCAGGCATCCCGCCCCCCGACCGCCGCCCCCGCCTCGGCACCGCCGCGCTGCCCGGGCCCGACCCCGGGGCAGGACCCCCGGGCTCCCCGGCCCGCGCGGGGCTCCGAGCCCCCGTGCCCGGAGCCTCACCTCCTCCCGCGGGCTGTCCCCGCGGCCAGCCCCGCAGCGAGCGGAGCGCGGCCCCGCAGCAGCCGCCGGCCTCCCCTCCTCCTGCCCGCAGCCCCCCGAAACTTCGCGGGAGCCGGGGCGGGCGCAGCAGCACTTGTACCTACCCAGCGGCTGAGGGACTTTTCCGCGCTCTCCTGGTAGTCTAGAGGGAGCTGAGTAAAATTCCCTGATTCTCCATGCTGACAGTCTTCTGCAGGCTCTCTGTTTCTCTAGTAATGAGATCCTGATTTTGTTTTCCCTTTTTCCTTTTTTTTTTTTTCTTCTTGGGCCGGTGTGTGTGTGTGTGTGTGTGTGTGTGTGAGCGCCTGCCCGTGAGAGGGAGCGAGCAGGAAGCCGGGGCAGTCAGACAGCGGCCCGGCTCACTTCCTCTCCCGCACTATTCCCCGGGCGGTTTGCAGTCTGTGTAAACAGCCTTTTCCTCCCCGCGCCCCTCGCTCTGGCCGCCGATGTGCAGCATGGCTGTAACACAAGACACACGCATAGTACAGCCGGCAGCGGGGACTCCGCCGGCTCGCAGGGAGCTCCGCGACACCCCCGACCGCCACCCCTTCCTGTGCTACACCCCCAGGGAGGAGCTTCCCGCCGGCCGCCCCAGCTGCTTGGGCCAAAATGCGCCCGCGTTTCCCCGGGGGACACCGGGGAGATGCTTATGAACCCCTTTTCGCCATCTCGGAGCATGGTGACTGCTTTGGCCCCTGGAGAGACGGCCGCCTTCGTCCCACCGTGCTAGGGCTGAGATCACCGTGGAGGGGAGCGTTGGGCACCTGTGGTGGGGTCACTGGGGGCTGAGGGGCTGGTGGGATGCAGTAGCTCGCTGGACGCACGCTGGCCACCTTCCCAAGCTGAACCTCTCAGGGACAGCAAAGTATGGAAGCGGTGCAACATGGCACAACAACTTAAATCGAGGGAGCACTCAGGTCATAGCATTATGGAATAATGGTTTTATTTGGTTTGGGAGGGACCTTTGACGGTCATCCTATCCAATCCCCTAGCAATGAGCAGGGACATCATCAACCTGATCAGGTTGTTCAGAGCTACTGCTCCAAACTGACCTTGAATGTTTCCAGGAATGGAGCACCTTCACGTCTCTGGACAACCTGTGCCAGTGCCTTACCATTGTTATTGTAAAAAACATCATCCTTATATCCAGTCTGAACCTATCCTCTTTTAATTTAAAATTATTTCCCCTTTTCCTATTGCAAATCATCAAATACAAGCTGGATCTTGCAGCTCCACATAATACCTCAAGAGTCAGAACAGTGGTAGTTTGCTGATTGAAGTTTAGGTTTTGACCTTCAAGCTGTAGACTTCAGATATAAACTGTTGGTTTGGATTTATTAAAAGGGACACATTTCCAGTATTGACAGTTTACATCAGTTTTGTATATTCTTGTGTCTCGTATATCAGCATTTCTAATTTTATTTGGAAATTTTCAGAGTGATTGACATTATCTTCTGTCTGCCTAGAACATCGGCGATGTTCAAGGAATAATACTTCAAAACCAATACCGCTATTTCTTTTAATAGCAATGAGATTTATTCTCCCAGCACTGCAACTGCTATTCAGACTGGTTTTGATGAGCATTGACATAGAAGCTGTGATTATTTTTTATCTCTCTATTGGTTCATTGCTTGCAATGTCATTGGGAACAGAAGTATGTTTTAATGGAGTTAAAGAGATTGTCACAGTTGGTCACTAAGCATCAGTCAACAGCATCTGAACAGAGGTACAGGGTCAGATTCAGTCTCCTGAGGAAGTCCATCAGGTTTCTTCCTTTTTGTCTTCTAACATGCCATAGAGGAGCAAGAATAACTTGGTACCAGCACACCAAATAATGGAACTTTGTTATTTTTCTTAAATCATTCCTTTTTAGAAGTCACTCTGAATTCCAGAATAGAGATATGGGGTCTGATAAATTCTCATTTTGTGTTTTCTAAGTAAAGAAGAATTAAAATCTTTAATTTCAGATAGTATATTTCCTCAATTAAATGTACAGTGGATAAAGTCCTTGCTGTTAGCACTAGTTTAAGTTATGAGGATTATAAGGGAACTTCAGCTGAAGACCCAGTTTTGCAAACAGAGCAGTCAGAGAAGTTTTTATGGTATCAAAATGAAGCATTGGACTGACAGCTGGGAACACCAGTTTTCATCTTCTACATTTGTCTTTTATTGTCTTTCTGACCAAGAGCAGATACACCACAGTTGCCTTGACCAGCTATTGGTGTGGAGATCTGAGAGAACAAACTCCCAAAAATGGTACAAGTTATTTTCTTCTACAAATAACACTATGTCTCTAAAATATGTTTAAAACTTTTTTTCCCTCCAGTTTCCTATGCTGTACCTGTTTGCAACACCTTTTTTTTTTTTTTTTTTTTTTTTTTTTTTTATTTTTTTTTTTTTTTTTTTTCAACACCAATCTTTTTTTTGTCTAGTCAGGTAGAAACCTAAATAAGGCTGCCATGCTGGAGGTCAGATGACTACTAGAAGAGAGCTTTTAATAATTACCCTACAAAAGCTGGAGTAAAAAGTGCAGAACTTGTTTAACAGAATGAAGACACCAGGATGTGTTGGAAACACTGGCAATTCAGAAAGCTGTACAGGAAGTGGAAGAAAATGGGAGGTTTTGGTCAGGGCTACTGATTGTAGCACTATGGATGTCATGGGAACAGTATTTTTTATTTTTGGAAACTACATCTATGTCTTGATAAAAACACTGTGCTTTACAGAATGATTGCTGAAACTCTCTTCTGCAATATCTGCCTGATTTGATTAATTTACACTTTGAGTTAACCATAAGAATTATCTGATGCAAAAATACAAGATGAGGTATGAGGAAAACAGTGTGTTTGTGTTGTGTAGGAGCTTTCTTCTTCTGTTTTTCAAAAAACCTGTCAGTTAACATAGTTATTAAAATGCTGGTTATATTTTTAGCAGAGTCACTAGTTAGCTTCTGTGTCTCATTTCACATCCATTCATCAGCACATGATATCTGTTATATCAGCACATGATAGCTGTTAACTGTGAAGCCTTAGTTCTGTCCTCAAGCTATGAAGACCTGAGGGTTTAGCTTTGGAAATTGTTGTTTCTTGCTCAGATTTGGTCCAGACAACAGCTGTTGTGCTTGTAAAGGACTTAGTTTAACTGAGACAGCTCCCCTTGGACCAGTAAGGCAGGTTACTGCTGCTGAAAGTCCTAATCTGATGGGTTCAGGCAATCCTTGAACAAACATATGCACCCAGGATGTCTCTGTTTACCTAGAGACAGTGTGATTTGTAAAAGAGCCTGTATTTATAAACCACTCCTGCTGAAAAAATTGCCCCAAAGCATTCCTAAGAATAGTGACTATAATTCTGCTTCATTTTATTAGATTACATCAATTAAGAAACCAAGCTTCGTCTGTCTTTTCAGATTGTTTCTCCTGCATTTTTAAACTGTTCATAAATCTCATGTGCTGCTGTAGTTAAACAATCTAAGAGAAGGAAACAAAAAAGTAAAGGTAAATTTTCTGTCCTCTAGATCTCTGTTTAAAGCTCTTCAGGCTGAGACTTATAAATGGGTTGGTCTATGTTTTAGTCTAATTTCACTCTGAGCCTTGAGTGCCTCCATAATTAAATTATTAAATGAAATTATATAATTGTAATGTCACTTTGTGGTATACAATTTTCCTTAAGTGTACATAGATGCTTATAATTGCATGTAATTATCAAGAACAAAGTTGAAAGCAGTTGGAAATAATTGTTGTTTCATTTAATATTTTAAGTGCTAATATATTTAATGAATATATTCTTCTCTAATATTTTTTATTTCTTTCTAGATTACAGGCTGTGCAGTGAAGAGGCTTCAGATTTGTGTCTGCCTTTAGGACAAGTACAATAGTTCTGTGGGAGAAGCACTCCTAACCATTCTTCTTTCTTATTTTCTAGCAATTCTAACTTGAATAACCACCTGACAGGTTACAGGAAGATTTCCAGGGAATTTTGGAAACTGAGTAAATAAAAACTAATTACCTGAGCTGAAATGACAGTTTAATTCATGTAAGATTCTTGGCTGCCATTCACAACATATTATTTAAATGTCCTGCAAATGTTGCATCCATACGGATGAATGTTGCTCTAGGAGGTTTGGCTTTTCTCTTTCACACTCTCCTGTAGCTGAACCAGCACAGGCTTTAGAGCCAATAACTTCATTATTGCAAAAAGCCCTGGGGGATCCACACTGCTCACAAAGTGGTCAAGTCCTCAGTTTTATCTCATCTCACTGGCAGCTTCAATGGCAAGAAAAGTGCTGTGTGCAATACCGCAGCTCCAGCATATAACACTGACTCTAAATCCATGGAAACTCAAGGGACGAAGTTGCACAGTGTTTCCCACAAGCATTTCTTCCTGGGCTTTTTGCTGAGCTATCTAGAGTAAATTTGTGAACTTTAGAAGGGGTGATGGCAGACATCAACAGAACTGTGTTTGTTCTTGAGAAACCTCTTGTTCAAAGTTGGTTCAGATTAGTGGGAAAAATTGCATGTTGCCACAAAATATTCAAAACTTAATGTCACATTTTCTGAAACAAAGAAATCCTGCAAGTTTTAACCTAAAATATTTCCTGTCAGAGGCAGGAGAAGGGCTAGTGCTTCTTCACACTGTAAAACAAGTATACTGTACAGATGGTAGGGCTTTGGCAGGGAAGCAGGAGCCTCTTCTGTCTTCCCAGGGACTTCTTTTTCCCTTAGGGAGCATGTTCTAGTCCCTCGTGACTGTCTTTGAATGAGATTTGTTGTTGGGCTGGAGTTAGAAATCTGCCTTCAGTCTTAAAAGAATGATGTTTTAGAGACCCCAAGGTTTTCCTCTTCTCCCCTATCCACCCCCGGAAGGCTGTGGTGCTTGATCAGGAAGGAGTGTTTGAGGCAAATGACTGCTTTTACACTCCTCTTCCTCTGCCACATTTTGCTTTCCTGAATGTTTTGCTTTCCCTGTGTGCTGTGGAAGAAAGCACATGACCCAACATGTTTCAAGTAAAAACATCATTGAGTGTACAATTTCATTAGCTTTGCCTTCTTAGTGAAAGGTTTGTAAGGAATTACATCCTGTGTGCAGTGTAATTGGCTATGATTTGTTCGTCAATAAAGGAATGTGGTGTCACTCTGTATTGAAGGAACCTAGACCATCTAATGAGCAACCCCTGAAAACAGGGAAAGAGGATACCATGAATCTCTGACCAACCATGAAGTCTAATATAACAGCAGAGACTAACTGTTTCAGTTTTCTCTTAAATCTTCCAATCTGCTGTACAGCAATTTCTTTTCCAGGCTAATTAATTAAAGGTCTGAGCTAGAACTCTAGTTGCATTTTTTTTGTCTCATCCCCTCCCCCCACCATTTCCCATCTATCTATATTATCCTAACCTAATCTCTAAATATAAGTGATCCAAGGTACTTGTCTTTGTCCTGACGAATATCACCATAGCATCTGAACATAATTAAACTGCTTTTACTGTTCTCAAATGCTTTTGGTCCAATGGAGAACAACTCACTGACATTTCTGTTCAGCCCACACTAATTCTAAAATGTTTAAATGATGAATGAAATTGAACATATTTTACTTTCAACATGTTACCTTATAAATTTATGTTTTCAGTATGACGCACACTTTGGGACACAGGTCTACTTAAA